ACTGTCGGATGACCTCTATGGTATTAACCTATGACTCATACTGGCCAACTCAACCTCAGAAACCCAAAATTCCTTCAAATTTCCATGTGACAGATCTATGAACCAACAACCAGTCTACGAGATCTGTAGACCCCTTTTGTAGAACTCAACTTCAAGTCCAAAATTTCACTAAGTATGAATCATTTCTACGGATGCCTGTCAACTCATGTGTCAACTTCAGAAACTTGATTTTTTCCTAAACTCAACCTCATTCCCAAGAGTGCTATTTATGAATGTTAAAATTTCTATGGTCCATAGACTATTCTTGTAGGACACAACCAGTGTCGAGATATGATGTACCTTCCCTTACATATCTTTTAAGATTTTACAATATTTTTCTCTTGGAAACATTCATTCTTGAATAGTACTCAATTTTAGCATGAATAAAGTACGATATAAACTAACAACCCAAAATAAATGCAAATCTCATCACAATGCATATAATAATGGAGAATCCCTCTAAGCTAAACCATAACATTAAAAAATCAAGTTTTTCATGAAAATATATGTATATGAAAACATTATAATGACTAAGATACATAAATCTAAAAGAATGAAGCATGAGGAACTAAGGAATCGGGGTGGAGGCAAAGAGATGAGGATACCAGGACACAATATCGGCTGGCTTCGGCCTTCCAAGTAAACCCTCAACAAATGGATTAACACAAAAAACTTTTATGGAAGAAACTTATTTATTCATCAATTTTCAAACTTGATAAGTCTAAAATCTCAACTGGAACCTCTTCATAGGAAATATTTTCCTTAAATTGCAAACCTACTGAAGGCATATTGAACAACAGATCTCCAACACACTTGTTTAATAAAGAGACACGAAATGAGGATGTACCAATGCTAAATTATTTGCAACTATTGTTCATAAGAGACCTTACTAATATACATCATAATGTGATATGAACTCACATATCAAGGGCTAAGCTTCATTTTCTTTCTAAACTTCATCACACCCTTCATAGGTGCGATTTTTAAAGAAACCCAATCATGAACTTCAAATATAAGCTCTACTTTTCTAACATCGACATAAGACTTTTGTCAGCTTTGAAGCATTTTCGACCTTCCCTAAATATGTTAACCTTTTTCATAGCCCCATGCAATTACTCGAACCCATTTTTTTTTGTAATTTTGTACTTTTTTGTCCTATGTGGGACCCAAATATCATCCACATGTACGAAGTCGAGTCACATAGTATTCCACAGAAGCGAAAAGGTGTATAAAATTTCAAAAAGAATGAATTGGCGCGGGGGGGGGGGGGGTAATAGGACCTTAGTTTAATTAAAGTGTGTTTCTGGAATTTCAGTCATTATCTATGGGGAGTACTGTTGACACCCAATTTTGACCCGCGATGGTAGAAACTATCTTGTGAGCTTCTTAATTTTTAAACAATTTGAAATAATTAGTTTTATGAAAAACTCAAAATATTTCTCAAGTTTTAAAATGATTTAAGTTATCTATGTAGTATTTTAAATAATTAATGTGTTTTATATAGGCACATATATTCGATTAGTATATTTGGCAAATAGTTGAAAATCGTCACAAAATGATTTTACACTTTTAAAGTTAAAATTTTAGTAATTTAGTATATTCTTTATTATAGTTATAATTTTAACTTGATTAGTTTAATCATTTTACAATTAAATTAATTATTTTATTTCGTTAAGATAGAGAAGCTCGTTAGTTTAGTCATTTTAATTCATCTTATTACATTATTAGCCAAATTTACTAAATGAATTCAACTCGGCTACGTTTGTAATTTCTAATGGATATAATCATAATCCCTATGGCCGAGTCTAAAATCCATTTCTTTCAGCCATTAAAGAAACTCAGCCCACTCCCATTTCCTTTCAAAGCCCAGTCCACACAATACAATACCATCAACAAATCCATTCCAACACAATTCCAAATAACCCAACATTTATAGTTCTATACAATACATATAATGATCCAAACAAATACCAGTACCAGACGCAAACCAGAACGTTGTACGTGTTCTTCTTCTTCTTCTTTTACGCGAACAACACGATTCTAATCTCAGCAAAATCGTGAACGCAACAACAAATTTAACCTGACGAGCCCAGCGAAAAGCATCGTTGTCTCAATACAAGGAATCTTCCAGATTTCTTTATCTCCTCGCCTCAATCGTCCTTTGCTCAAATCAGACAGCTTCAATGCTTTTTCCATTGAAGAATGGGACAAGAATCTTACTATTCCAACTTTATCTTCTAGAGGGAAATTTGAATTTTGAATTTCGAATTCATCCAAAAAGTTCTACCCAATTTCCCCCCTTTTCATTCCCAAAATCTACCTTATAAATAGCACTATTCATTCACTATTGAAGGAGATTTTTTTAGGCGAGATGCTCAACCAAAAAAAAGCTTAAAGAGACGGTGACTCACTTCAAAATAACAGTCTTTTTCTTATCTAAAAAACAACTAAAATTGAAGAAAGAAAGAGTGAAAATGAAGAGATTGACATTCCCCTAATGTATTAGGGTGAATTCCTAGCTTGTTCCAATTTGGCGTTGCTCCATTTTGGTGGTGGAAGCTTTACAATTCAAGATCGTTGCGCCGGAACGCTACACTGAAGAAGTCTACTAAACTCTTCCTCCCATCCTTGCATATTGAGATGGGCTATAAAGGCCCAAAACCATTTATTTTCCTGCCAGATCAACCTCATAGCCAATAGAGAAGATGGTGAACAGGTCTTTGGAAGTTGATACATGTTTCAGAGGTCCAATTTAAAGTTGGAAATTAACTTGTTATGTCTCCAAAGTCTAGAAAGTTGTATACACGATGTATACACTGATATATAGATTTCAAATGTCGAAAATACAGGGATAAATACAAACTGAAAAGCTAATATAAAGGAACAATGCAGAAACATAGACCCAAGAGATATACATAGAACATATACACATTTTTTCTGAAGGAGATAGGCCCAAAAGCCGTGAACAATATCAGCATGTCCAAATGAGATAATGGGCTGAAACCCATGATTGTTGGCAAAGTTGTAGTCTTAGGGACAAGTGGGCCAAAAGACCAATTTAATTGGATTTAGTCCAAAGGGAGGTCTATTATTTCTTTTCCCTCTATTATCATTTAAATGGAAAAGGTCATGAAATATCCTCGAAGTATTGAAAATGGTCCAAATTACCCTTCATCCACCTATTGGCTCCAAAATGTCCTTCTCATCCATCTTTGGGTTCAAAATCAACTACTTATTTAACAGTATTAAAAATTGTTTAAATATTTTTTTAAAAAATACTTGGCGCTCAACTATTGGTTATAATTTAGTTATTAATATAATTTATAGATCAACCCACTACCCACTCATTACTAACTAAACCCCACCTAATTAATAAACCAATTATAATGTATAAATCGTCATAAACACTACTAAAACATGACGAAATTATAGATTCCTGAAAATTACATCCAAAATTATTCGAGTCCGAATCGAAGCCCCAATTAAATTTAGGTTGAACTGCTTAGTTAGGAGAACACTTTTAATAGGATTCTCTTTCAAGCTTGAATTCGAAATTTATGAGTAAGATAAAGATGTAGTACGTCCCGAATTAATTCATGCATTTTTTTAAATATAGTTTTATAAATATTGATGATTTGTTTTAAAACCTTTAGCATATTATTTTTAAAAAAGTCATCTATGAAGTAACATCAAATAATTCAGAGGAAAAAATAATTAGAGGAACATAGTCAAACTTTTATGTTTATCAGTAATTTTTATTTAGACACTTGGATATGATATTTACAATTACAGATATTTTTGCCTCAAATTTTTAGAAACACTCATTGACAGTAACTTCCCTATTGTTGCATTAGTAATGTGACATGTTTATTAATTTGATGGGGTTTAATTAATAATGGGTGGGTAGTGAATTGATTTTTAAATTATACTAATAAGTTAAATTATAACAAATAGTTGAGCACGTATTTAAAAAAATATATAAATAGTTTAAATTTAAACCGTTAAATAAGTGTCAATTTCGAACCCAAAGGTTGACTAGAGTATTTTGGAGTCAATAGGTGGGTGGAAAGGGTATTTTGGAACTAATAGGTGGATTGAAGGTAATTTTGTACCATTTTCAATACTTCAATGGTATTTTAAGCGCTTTTTCGTTATTTATAATTTATTGATTGACTAACTTTGTTTATTTTTATGGTTTGATTTAATTAAGTTTCCCAAGATAGCCCTTTCTTATTTTTAAAGTATTTAGTATTTTACCTATTTTATATATTCAGTTATATATGTTTATTTTATCCTAATAAAAGTTATGTCGAGTTTTTACTTTAAAAGTAGGACCTTAAAATTATCTTGATTTTCAAACTTAATTAATATTTTTTTTCTAAAATTAGTCAAAGACACACATTCTTGAAATGTACATTGAAGTCGAATCAATTTATTTTCAATTGATTTTTATCTGTTTAAATCTTTTGAAAACCTTTAAGTTTTTTATTTATTTTTACTAAATAATTTAGTGGAGACTCTATTCTTTTGGAAGATTACTTTCTCTTTAAATCTTGAGTTTGACCCCTTTTTTTTAAAAAAAAAAACAAGTCATTTTTTCTACTTATATTTTTGAGTAAAACAAGTACTTGTGTCTTATTCCATTATTATAAGTATAAGACATGCCTCTAATTATAAAAAAGACTAATTAAATCTGAATTTTGTAATAAAACCTCACCTTACGAGAACACATGATTTTCTTATTTCTATATGACCACAATGATGCCTAAGTGCACTTCTCTTGGGTCTTCAATTGTTGCCATGTACAAGTAAACTTTCATTATCTCACCACCCGAGTCTACAACTTTCATTATCTCACCACCCGAGTCTACACCCTGACGTGACCGGCACTCGAAGACCATTGTTGATCGCCAAGCGAACCCTCATCCTGGCTGACTACAAGCAGAAGACTAACTTAAGTATGCAAAAACTTAAAACTGAAGTAAAATTCAATAAAATAAACTTTACAAAGGTTTTAACTCAAATGACCAACTTTGAATGAAAATCATATATTAAACTCACCATAAAATAGCAACTTAAGTCTTTAAAACATTTAATAAAACAAATGAATAGTATAGGCTTCTTAACTAAAGTGACTATCTATGAAGCCTCTAACTGATAAAGATGGAAGTCGAGACAAGACCCACGACATCCCGACTAAACTGAAAAGTAACTGAAATCTTCCGAAAACAAGGGGTTCACCATAGCTAACTCGAACTCTCGGATGTATCAAAAAAGCTCCTATTGATGATCCTGAATACGTGTGTCTGCATCATGAGAAGACGCAGGCCCATTGGCTCAGTATGTGAAATGTACAAGCATGTAAGGGGAAAACTAAAGCACAAAACATAGGCTTGAACTTGATAAAAAGGAAAAATACTTACCTCTTTACAAACTTACTCAACTCAAGGAATACTCAAGATACTCAACCTACTCAACTCAGAAGTATTCAAGGATAAGATACTCAACTAGAGTTTAGATTACTCAACTCAAAGATATAATATTCGAGTCTGAATACTCAACTCAATATAAAGCAAGAATACGAATGCAATATATAGAAAGTTTTATAAAACATTAAAAACAAATTATTTTTGTATAGAAAATGGAAGAATAAACTCAATTTTACTTATATAATAAAGTAATATAATTTCTATGGGAAATTCTCTAACCGAAAATCATCACTACAAGCCTAAGTGTTGGTGCAACGTTTTACCACGCGCTGTCAAGAACCATCCTATACATTACCATCAGTATAGGACTTTACTTAATTTAGTGGATCCACTAGCTTAATATACGTGATCATCTAAAAAGTATTACCCGTTAACACCCATGATGACTACATGGTTTTCATGGAGATTTGAGTTAATATAAACTCTCATCCCCCATCGATGCTCAATACTACTTCCAAAATATACTTTAGCTAATGCTTTCAAAATCAATTTCATTTCTTTGGGTTGAGAACATTCTCAACACTTAGCTTTAAAAAGCCCTCTTGGAGTAAATGTTCCCTTTTCTTGTTCAAAAATCTTTTGGGAAATCTTAGTTCCCTCTAAACTTAAATGTGAAAACATTCATAAATTTTCTAGGGAATAGTTAGTTCCCTTGTATATTTGAGAAATGAACTCAACTCTTTACTCTTTGCTTAATTGGATACTTGAGTCTTATATCAACTCTTAGAGAAATATTTAGTTCCCTTAATAACTTTTGAAGAAAAGACTTCAACTTCTTACTCTTTACTTTAACTTGAAACTTGAGCCTTAAAATGAAGTTAAAACAAATAAAGACTCTTAAAACTTTGACAAACTTTGCTTTGACTTACTTCTTAACTTCTAGACTTAACTCTTAACTTCTTTGACTTTGATCTTAACTTTCCTTGAATTGGATAATGGATTCAAGGTTCATGATCTCATGTTTATGGATGGTTTCATGATATTCAACTTAGAGGGTTCATACAAAATTATGAGCATGAACACTAACTTAAGGACTCAAAGACACTTCTTATCTCAAGAGTATTCACTCATAGGGTTCATGCATGAACAATTCAATTCAAAGGCTTCATGAATAACATGTAACAGTCAAATGATTAGAAATATACTCAAATGATTTAGAAACTTATTACTCAAGACTTAGGACTTGAATATGCTATTAATCTCAAAGGTACTCAACTGATTGAAGTTCATGCATATGTTATGGGCATGAACGACTCGACCCTAGGGTCAAAATATCAATAAGGAACTCATGTATACGAATCTTATCATTCTCATAGTTACTTCATCAAAACTTAGTTCAAATTAATGGTTTACCTAAAATGATTCACTATTGAACTCAAAAGCTTTCTTGAACTCTTCTCGTAACTCTCTTCTTCAATGTGAATTATGAATTCAAGAGTTTTAGTTCATTATATGGAGGATCTCATGATGACAAGGTAGAATTATGAATGCATTCTCTTCTTTCTCATATACTCACTTGCTCGAATATTGAAACAAGTTACTAGAAGTTGTAGAAGACTCATAAAAGGACTCAAAGGGCTTTCTTAGAATGTTGGAAAGAATTCTCAAACTTAACCCTTAATTCTACATTGAATTTGAGTTATGAATAAAAGGTTATGATCCTGTTAGGAATGATTTTAGGTGTTTAGAAGTAGCTTAGAGTAGTTAGACTCGAAAAGGAGTGAAGATGCACTTTAAATGAACTCAAACAGAGCAACCGGAGGCAAACTGGATGGGGCAGGCGACCCTAGGGCATGGGTGGCGCGGGGAGCCAGCCCCTGAAGTACGGAGAAGGGTTTGGGGCGCTCTAGAAGGCGCATCACGCCAGACCCCAACCCAAAAAATTTCTGAACATCCTTGCTCATTTTCTCACCCTAACTCGTCTAAAATCGAAGAGTTTATTTCCCAATCACTTGGATTCTATTACTTAAATTTTTTAAAATCTAATATAATTAAAAACAACACTAAAATTACTCAATTTCATCTCAAAAAATCATCAAAACCCCAACACAACAAGATTTAGAATAAAATTCAAGAACACCTACGAAAAACTCATCAAAAACTCTAATTTTTAAACTTTATGAATGAAATTTCGCTGAAAAAAATAACGTGATTGGCGTGTGGTAAACTAAACCAACACTATGGAAGCTTACATACCTCTTTGGGATCAAGCCCATGGCAAAAGTCCACGACATCACGCAATAATCTTGCAAAACGCTTGATTCTCCCCACTTTTCTCTTCTTTTCTTTTCTTGAACTCTTAACTAAAACCCTAGGTGTATAGTAGGGTTATAAAACTGAACCTAATACGATTATACCCCTAAAATATTACTAAAAACGAATTAAGTCTGATTGGGTAAAGAAAAGAAGGAAATACCCCTCACTATTTTCGGCTAACTTTCCTTAACTGGACAACCTAACTTCAAAAGATCATATCTCACTCATCCGAGCTCGAAACTTCGCTAACTTTGTGGCGTTGGAAAAATAATTAAAAGATATTTCCAATGGTAACTTGTAGAAGACCTAAGTCATCATGTAATAGGAGTTATGGTCATTTGAAGTTGACCCAGAACCCATACTTAACTTAACTCTCCAAATGTCAGATTTTGCTATTTTCAATTTCGCACTTTTTGGAAATCTTGGTGCTAAATCTAGTGAAATGACCATAATAGTTGATAAATTTTTAATTTCTTGGTAAAATCTCACTCACTACGACGAACGGTTCGAGTCTTAGTTCGAAAAAATTTCTGGATTGTTACACATTATCCTTCTATTTTCAATTGTAAATTACTTAACAATCAACAAACACCTTGGTTACTATAGGACACTACAATACAATTCATAGAGGGGAAAATAGAAAGGTAGGGTCTCCTATGTAAGACACAGAGATAAGAAAACATCATAACACAAAATCTAGAGTACAATGGTTGAAATTGGAAGATGATAATACAACTTACTTCCATGATAGCTTGAGAAATAGGCTTGCTCAAAATAGAATAGCTAGTCTAACTAATGCTAGTGGGAACATACTGACAAGTACTAATCATGTAGAAGAAGAGATACTTGGATTCTACAAAAAAAAAAACTAGGACTCGTGCGACTCAATTACCAGTTGTGAATTGTCAAGCAATGAAAGACAGGCCTAGACTAGATAGAGGCCAACATGCACAACTGCTAGCACCTGTGTCAAGTGAGGAAATGATACATGCTTTAGAGCGGATAAATGATAATAAAGCAACAGGCTGTGATGACTTTAATGCATATTATTTTAATAAAAAAATAATTAAGTTTTTGAAAAATCAATTGAACTTATGATTTAAGAGAAATCGAATTTTCAAAGTAATAGAGTCGCCACTTAATTTTTTTAGAAAAAATAAATAAAAAAAAGGTTTTCAAATGAATTTAAATAGATAAGAATCAATTTGAAAAAATATGTTCTAAATTAAATATACGTTCCGAGAAGGTGTTAGGCCCTCAAAATGTCCTAACTTTTTTTTTAGGGGAACAACTAAAGGGAAATCTTCTAAAGGAAATAATTCAAGTGGTTGATAAGACTAATAATAAAATAGAACTAAGTAAAATAAAATATATATAAAAGAAAAATATTTCAACTTTTTGAATATAAAAGAGAAGCACATCTTTGGAAAATCAATCAAATTCAACCAAAAGTGTTAGTTAATACAATAATAAACAAATAAAGAGGTAAAAGAAGAGAATGTTTGAACTTGATCCATTTGCCTAATTCAACTAAGTTGGGCCTTTGGCCCACCTGTCCTAACTCAAAAAAATTGTTCACAAATGCACTTGAACCCAAATTGTTGAACCTGTGGAAATTCTTTGGGTTTTTGGACCTTTTTCATTCTCATTTGTCATGATATACACCAAGTGTATATTTGATGTATAGACCATGTATATCGCTAATTCTCAAACTTCCGTACCTGTAAATTTATCTGAATTTTGGGTGTGTTTGGTATGGAGGAAAATGTTTTCCATGAAAAATGTTTTCCTAGAAAATGTTTTTCTGGAAAAACAAGTAGATTTTGAACTTATTTTCTCATGTTTGTTTGGTTGGTGAGTGAAAAATATTTTCCAAAAATGATTTTTAGTGTTTGATTTATGAATGAAAAATATTTTTGAGAGACACCTTTTATTTTTACTAGAGTAAAAAAAAATAATGACATTGCAAATATTTTTAAAATCAAAATTATTATTAGGGAGTGGTGATGGGGGTGGGGTGGGGGTAGTGGGTGGGGAGGGGGTAGGAATGAAAAAATAAAAATTTAATGTTGATATTATTTTTTAAAAAAATAAAATTAACTTTTTTGGGGATTGGTGTGGGTGGGGGCTGGCCGGGGGAGGGGGGAGGGAGGGGTAGGAGTTAAAAATAAAAATTTGAAGTTGAAAATATTTTTAAAAAGCAAAATTGATTTTTTGGGGGAGGGGAGGGGGTAGGAATGAAAAAATAAAAATTTAAAATTGATAGTATTTTTTTAAAAAAACAAAACTAATTTTTTTAGGGGTTGGTGTGGGTGGGGGCTGGCCGGGGGAGGGTGGAGGGAGGGGTAGGTTTTAAAAATAAAAATTTGAAGTTGAAAATATTTTTAAAAAGCAAAATTGATTTTTTGGGGAGGGGGGGGTCAAGGATCAAGTTAAAAAATAAAATTTTAAAATTGAAAATATTTTTTTTAAATTGATATTTTTTTCCCAAAAAAAATGTAATTTGAAATTGGAGGAGAGTTATGGAAAATGTTTTCCTTAATTTTTGAAGGGAAGTCATTTTCCTTAATTTTGAGAAAAATGAGTTGATTTGAAAAACATTTTCCAAAACTTTTGTTCCACCCAAACATGAGAAAATTAGAAAACATTTCATGTTTTCCTTCATACCAAACACACTCTTTTGTATTTCCACATTTTCACATTTTGACCTGTATATCATATTTTCTGATTATATTACCCTTTTCATGGTTTCAGACTTTGAAAATTCAAAGTCCAACTTCGTTAAATCGCTAGATTCCCATAATTTAATTTCCTGCTGGCTGACTCGATGAACATTACTATTGGGCCTTTATGGCCCAATAAGAAATGCACGAAGAGGAGATATAATCCATCAGGATTTGGGGAGATTTCACGTGAAAAGAACACATAATAAGAGTTAGCATCTATTCACAATGATAAAAAAATAAAATAACCATATGAAATTTGATTGATCTAAACTTTGACTTAAAATGGGGTTCAGTTACACTAACCAACAAGAACTGTAATATAGCACTCAAAGGCAATGTAAACTAATATTTAACAAAGTTAAATCTCAAAGCAAAAGGGAGGCACAAAGCAGTAACAACACTAGAGGAGACAGTAGTCCTCAAATTAGGTAATAATGGTAATAAAGTTACTAAAAACCACGGGAGATTATGCTACATAAAGCTAGTGATTTCTAAGAAAATGCCATATGAAATACATTTACTACCCAATCTTTGAGGTAACCAACATGTAATAATATCAAAGATTGACCCAGTACAAGTGTTAAAAAACAAATCTTCATTCAAACTAAAATACACATAACAAGGTCCAATAGTAATTTAGCTAACTCTATCACCAAAAGATTTGTCAGTTTTAAATCCACATACACAACATGGAGGGACAAACGACAAGAAATCTAAGGAGAAACAAGCAACAAGTAGGACTGGATATATTGAAAATAATATATCAATTTATAGAGGAAAAATATTGTAAGCTTAATCGATTTAAGAGGGAAAACATTGTAAACTTTAGGATTTAAACAAAACTCCCAAGCCTGTACCAGAACTGATCATAAACAGCCACATAAATACATTTCATGTAAAGAAAAGGGTCCTTCCGGATATCTATAAAAATAGAAATGCTCTTACTGACTCTATCTATTCTTAACAAGGGGCTATACAATTAACAAAATATTTGGAGTGCAAACCATCATTTTCTAATTTGGGACTCTATTTACGCAAGTTACAGCAGCAGAAACAAAGTGAAAACAGACCAGCTTAGCGAACATATTCAAAGTGTAAATCGTATGGATGTAAACAACATGGACAACGTGAGTGAAAAACAAACTTCATTAATTCCGAACTCAAGCTTACTGTCCGAAAACTTACAAGAAATCAAGTACCGGATACACCTAACATGCTACATTGAAAATGAAATACATAAGAAAGCGATGATACCTTTCTCGAGACAGCGGAACTGAGACTAGACGAGTGCAGGAGTAGCGACTTCACCGCTACCAAAATGCAACTCCAAGAGAGCTGATGAACAGAGCAGAATCAAAAGAGACCCAAATCTCTGTTCCTCCTTTCTATGACTTTCAAATTCTATTTCTTGGATGTTTATATATGTGTAGTATTTCACTGTGTTTATCTCAATTTCCTGCTAAATTCTCCCGACTCCCTTTTCTTTCTCTATTTTCTCTCCTAATGTAAGCTATCTCTAACCTTTTTATAATGAAGATGATGAGGGGATTTTATAGGAGGAATTAGGGCATGATTTTGGGGGAAATTCGTGTGAAATATTGGATGAATTTCAAATTCAAATTTAAATATCATTAAGATATAAGGCTACCCTCTCGAATGAGTACAAATTCCAAATGGATTTGAAAGGAGAGTCGTCCGGTTCGAGGAGCAAGGAGGAACCATCATCAAGATTGTAACATCTGGATTATTCCCATAAGAAGAAGACAAGGGATAGAGAGAGAGAGATACACTCTGCATTGGGCTCACTGGATTTGGGTTTGCGATTCTGGGTCGCTCTGAGGTTCTGGGTTTCGTTTTTGGGTTCGTCCTGTAGAAGAAGAAGAAGAAATGTGATGGGTAGGTTGTACGTGTTTTTATGATGGGGATTGTCTTTTTAGTATTGTTAGTGGGCTGGGCTGACTGGATGATGGAGTGGGCTTAGCTGGATGTAATGGCTGAAAAAATTGGATTTGGTTGCTGGAAAGTGTTAAAGAGAAGGCCCAAAACTTGGTCTTGATGGGTTTATGAAGTTGACGGAAAATTGTTAATGAAACAATGATGAAATTCGATTAAAACTTGAACAAAATGAATTGACATAAATTAATTAATGAGTTTCTTAATCTTAATTATAAACTAAGTAATTTAAAAATATAAATATTATATAACTAAACTAATTAAACAAATATTTAATTAAAAAAATCTTTTTAAGACGATTTTAGGCTAATCATAAAATATACTAATTATATACACAATTATGCAATACATATAGTTTATATAAAAATAATAAAAAAAAGTGATAAAACTAGTTAAAATAACTTGCAAACTGTTTTATTTTTTGTTATAATTTTACAAAACTTTATTTTAAATCGGTTGAAATCGAAGAAGCTCAAAATGATTACTTTATATGGCGGAGGTCCAAAATTGGGTTTCAACACATATTTTTTCAAGAAGACTTGGGCAATAGTAAGACAAAAGATCATTATGGCTGTACAAGAGTTCTTTGTAATAGAGAAACTACCTAAAGCTATAATTTGTACCACAATGACTCTGATTCCAACAGAGGACCACCATTCAAAAATATTAGAGTATAGACCTACCTCATGTTGTATAGTTGTGTACAAAATCATTTCGAATGTGATTAGTAACAGAATGTAGAGCATGATGGATATTTTAATAGATAAAGGGTAGTCTACTTTTGTGCCAGGTAGATTGATCAATGATTACATCATCTTGAGTACTAAGTTGGTCAAAGGGTTATGGGAGGAAAGTGATCTCACCTAGATGTATGCTCAAAATTGATATGAGGAAAAAGTATGATTGAGTGGAATGGGAGTTCTTGAAACAAGTGCTGATCCAATTGCTTTCTCCTAGTGTATTTGTTGATTTGGTAGTCCAGTGCATACACACAGTGTCTTACACTATCCCCTTAACTCTTTGTACTAGCCATGAATTAGTTCACAAGACTATTGAAACAACTGAAAAAATCCTCAAGCTTCAAGTACCATCCAAAATGTGCTAAACTGCAGTTGGTCTAACTAAGTTTTCGTGATGATCTGCTTTTATGTAGGAAAGGGGAACTCACATCTGTTAAAAAGTTTATGAGATTTCTAAAGTTTTTTAAGCAACCTCTGGTCTGGAAGAAAATGTAGATAAAAGCTCCATTTATTTTGGAGAAGCACCAACTGAAATGCAGCTGGTCATAATGCATGATCTAGGTTTCTCACAAGTTACAATGCTTTTTAGATACTTAGAAGTTTCCCTAAGAAATAGGAGAATAACTATGGTGCAATGCCAACAATTGATTTATAAGATTCTAGGAAGGATATAAAACTCGACATCTAGATTCCTATCATATACAGGAAGGGTCCAGCCAATAAAAGATGTACTATTTTCTGTTCAAGTATTATGGTAACAGGTATTTATCTTACCAAAGAAAGTGATCAAATGCATTGAAGGGTTATATAGAAGCTTTCTATGGACTAGAGGGGAAGATATATCAAAGAATTGGTTGCATGGGATCAACTGTATAATCCATACACGACAAGAGGCTGAAATATTGTAAGTATCCAGGAGTGGAAAAAGGCAACCATTTGCAAATTTCTGTGGAATCTGAGCAAAAATAAGGACAAGGTATAGGTATAATGGGTGCACATGTACTATGCTATGGGTACAATGGGGGTACGTGTACTAGGGACCATGTGGAATATACAAGGAAACCATGACTCATGGATGGTGAGGAAGATTTTACAAACATATAAAGTCTTAGAGCCTCTAGGATGGAATTAAATATAACACCCCGTATTCTACGTGTACTAGTTTTATTTATATGACGCTTATTAATTTCCTTGTAGTATGGTTATGGAATCGATTCACTATGCAACTAGTAACAATGGAATAGGTTTAAAATGGACTGTCAGCTAGATTTTAATGTGACCTAATTAAGTTGAAATTAATGGAAGTATTTAAACTTGAGATCATAGGATGATATTTGAGTCTAAAGTTTAAAGTGATATAGTATATATAAGTTTTAAGTAAGTTAAATGTATTAAAGTCTAACAATGGAATAAAATATTGAGGTGCTTGCTTGGCTACACTTAAGCTTGTAAATGATGCAAATACTTAGAATTAGTGGACTACATTTTAAGTGGAAAGGGTAAGTAGGTGATTCACCTAATTAGGATAAGTGGACTGCATTTTAAATGAAAAGGGGAAGTAGATGATGCGCCTATTCAAAAACTTGTGGCAGAAATTAAGGAGGTGATGCACCTGCTTGCTTAAAGTAAAGGACCGTATTATTTCTCCAATTTATTAAGTGAAACGTACAAAAGGTACCCTATAAAGTATCAGGCTTATCAAATCTCCTTCATCACTTATTCTCTAGAAATTTACTCCCAAGGAAACCCGTAGAAGCTCCAAGAGTTCTGGTCTATAACTTCAACATTAAAATATAAAGCAAACCCTTTATTTTTAAAGTACAAGTTGGTAGAACATTTCCCATCTTAAGGAATTCAAGTGAATAATATGATTTAACATCAAGGTAAGGGAGAGAGGAGAACCTAAGCATTGAAGAATCAAAGTCTTAGCAAGTTAGGTTTCTGCCCTGCAAGGTAAGACATGAAAATTTTCATCCCTCTCTTGTTCTTGCATTAATTTTAAAAGTTTGTACGCGTTAATGAATTGAGGAGTGTTAACTCTATATGGTGTAAGCTTGGTGAAGGTTCAGGAAATATGTGCTTGTTGGGACAAACATGGAGTGGAGTCCCCTTAAATTTTGATTGTGAGCTCATATTGAGAATCTTAACTGTAATGTTAGTTGGAACTCACTGGATGTTGATAGGATGTTATGAGTTCATGTTTCTATTTCCACATTGTGATGCTTAGGGACTATTTTTTGTATCGTAAAATGGTGTGTGTGTGTGTGTGGATGGATATCTGCAGATAAATCATGGGAACTGTTTAGAGGATAAAACATTGAAAGTGTAAATATATGACACTTAATTGAGTGTTGCATGAACTTACTTCTGCGGTCCCTTTGCATACTATTTTTCAAACAAAAGGAAGCCCAAGGAGGTCAAGAGGACCTTATAAGAAGGCTACATAGTATATAAAAAAAATTAGAGGAGAATGGGTGGGAAGAACACCCTTTATGAGATCAATTATAGATTTACTGCCAAGTACCATTTTGGTCTTGATCAAGTAGCCCAAATTTTTTGATCAACTACTAATGCTAATTTTATTATTTACTCCATTGTAGATAAATAGTCGGAAAGGAATAAGGTTAACTCATTCTAATATCCAAAGCTGTGCAGCAAGGTATGTAAGACTATTCGATTTCCTATTTCTTTGGCATAAAACCAACACTTGTAATTACAAAGTAAGATTTCTAAGTACCCTTTGGTAGTGATTGGTTCCTACTCCTTAGAGCATTAAAGTGAGTACCCTAATATAAGGTTATTACTAAATATACATGGTTACTCTATCAAGTATTAGCATGAAAGGTTTAAACTTGTTTCATCTTCAAATTTCCCTTTGCACACATTCCCCTTATATAGATCAAAATGATCCTAGATTACACATTACATATGTTTTTATGTTGGATATACAATCTGCCCGTATCCTGCCAACTTGCTTCAATTGTCTATTCCATCATATATGTCATCTTTTTACACGTTCATATGTTTCCTTTATTGGTTATTATTACTCCCATTGTGTTAGACTGTAATGTTATCAAAACCTTCCTCTATGATCTATTGTACATTTTTATATGGTCTTGGAAGGCCTAGGGAACTCACTTTTGAATCTTCAATTCCTACTCGTGCAATGTGTATATAGCGTCTCATTCCACTAAATACACATTGTATAACCTATCTAATAACTAGAGTACACATCCCACCTGATGAGAATATGAATTAACTGAGATAGACCATACTAGCTTGTTATGAAATCCAATGTCATGAGACCCCACACCGTGGAAGGTAATCTACTTGCCGGAGGTAGAACTAGGAAAATCCCATTTAGACACATTGTTAATGTATACCAAGGACTTTTTTGTACTCTAGTCTCATATTTAAAGTATAGGTATTACCATACGCATATCCACTCGATGCTTTGCCTTATTTCTCATAGAGTGAGTTTATTCACACATTAGTCTTTGAGAAAGTAACATTTGTCTTACCAACTCATAATACCACTATAAAGAAAGGCTACACGGGCTGCCAATCAAGGTTCATTAGGATATCTCATCTATTAAACGGGTGCCATGCTAGGTCAATCTGATTCAATTCATTATAAACCTTCTTTTCACATTTAATGTTACACATTCTTAACCTTCGTTACATTTACAAGGTTTCACATTAATCATTCTAAGAAGGGTACCACTTTAGGTCTACTGATCCTACACTTTCATTCATTCATTCTTTAGTTCATTCTTTCATTCATTCTCAAGAAAGGATGCTAATCATATCAAGAGATCACACTCAACATAACTTTCATTTATCAAGTAGGGAAAACTATGTCTACCTAAACAAGACACAATATCAACATATGAAGACTCTTCATAGATTATCATCATCATATACCAACATTCAGAGGAACATGCTTTCACTAACAATATCACATACATTTATAGAAGATCACCTCAAGATCACATTAATAGATCCACATTATGAACATTCAACAAGATCACCCATATATCACATTATAACTTCATTTTATACATTCATGTATGCCATAACACCTTGCACATAGTTACTTCATATAACGAACTTCACATTACACCTTCACATATACCGTAATATGATACTACTATAATTCGCATAATATTGCAGAAAAGTCCATGATCAAAATAAGAACAAGCAGTAAACACCGCCAACATAAGTAAACACTACAATACAAGATCAATTTTATATCAGTTCTACATTAGTAAGGAAATTAGGTCAATTTACCTTCTTTTCATATCCAAGATCACCATTTCTTAACGTCTCCAACAATTCACAAT